ATTTTATATGTTTTTCAATTTTAATTTAAAGTTTGATTATTTTGGTTATTTCGACTGTGGAACACAAAAGGAGATATTTTGAAGAATGTTAGTAATGAAACAACATCAGAGTCCTTTGGCTTCCATTGTATGGACAAAAAAACATTCATCAGTGGAAAAATTCATCAGATTTTGTCAGTGGAAATATGTTCCACTGACAAAAGAAACTACAGGTATGTGAGTAATAACTTATGCCGGGTTCAGACTACACAATATTTTTGTCGGTCACGATAGTCACTGTGTCAGATTTCATGATTTTGACTCCTGAAATCTTGTCGTGTCGTGGACAAGAAACATGTCAGACTATATGTTGCTTCCCGACCGTTCATCGTGTGCCGTCTTTAACGACGCGCGTGATGTCATCGATAAGGCGGAACTAGCAACTGACTTCCGAATAACAAGAGTGTAAACACTGCTGAAGCGCTTCCGCTATAGTTCGCCAGCATTTTTCTTTCTTTGTTCTGTCGTGGTAGTCCCTCGATGACACATCATACAGGCAGGAGTACTGCTGCCACAGCTTCACGAACCTTTCCTCCATCTCATAATTACACCTAGCTGTTTGAAACCTGTGTATGAAAGAGCTTCTGTGCTGCTATTGGTCAACGTCACCAATGTGACAGAACTAGTGGACGATGGGAAAAAAATAAACATGCTAGTCGTGATGTCGTGAAGCATCGCAGACGCGGAATCGGTTGTCGTCCACTATGACACACTACACGAGCTGAAACGATGGAATCTTGCGTCCCGACGCCCATTGTCGTTTACGAATCCCCACGACACCCTACGTCAAGCAAATCGTGGCAAAATCGGGCTAAAATCGTGTAGTCTAAACCGGGCATTAAACAACCGCCTAGAACATCCTATGAGCAATTATAAAAGGATGTGACGAAATTATTATTATTATTATTAGTTTATCATAATTCTGATGATTTTCTTCGGAAAAGCTTGTTTTTAAATCAGCGCAGTTGCATCAAGCACCACCTGTGATTTCCCACAATCCTGTGCGGCTCGGCAGTTTGCTGAAAGAATACAAATGGTCTCGGGAGCAGTTGTGAGAAGAGTTTTTTTTTATGATTCAATTTCTGTTGAGAAATGAGCATTGTCGTCATTCCTCACTTGTCTAAAGGTTATCAGATGTGACATTTGGTGCCTTCATACAAAAGCCGTAATTACTAAAAAAGCATATTGCACACAGATTTCTAACTCCAACACTCGAGCTTGTTTTGAAATGGTTGTTTTTACGAGTAATTAGTGGGTAGAAGACATTAACAGTGTTGTGGAGTTTCCAGATGAGAGTCTCTCGCGGTTTCTTCCTAATAACAGCACAGCGCTGTGATCCGCTCAAGTCATTTTAACATGGCTGTACTTGTCCACACTCAAAGCAGAACAATAAATCGCTCCGTTTCCAAAAACCCTGCTAATAAAATGCACTGGAATGGGTGTAGTTGGTCCATTCATGTCCTAATACTCAGAAACATACCAGTTGTTATTTATTATCCCCGGCTGATGAAGTACTGATCATGAGTCATGAGGCTGGGTTCGCCCCTCCGGTCATTTTTTCCACACAGATATCGTGTCGCAGCACATCGAGTCAGTCTAGCAGAGGAATGTGTCTTCCCTCGTTGGAATCATCTGCATCCAAAAATATTTCTGAACATCAAGACACAGATGTGTTGCATGCATCACAAATACATTTGAAAGATTTATGATTTCTTCCTGTTTCAGTCAAATATTTGGGGTGACAAAATTTTGGTGCATCACTATTATTTTTAGATTATTATTTTAAGACAAAAAAGCATCATGTATGCAGACGATGATGATGCAGGTATTTTGGCAAAGAGCATAGAGTTGAGATCTCTAGAAACTCTAGAGGAGACGGTTTGATGTGTGAAACGGTAGATTTACTGTAAGCAAAATCTTCCTTTACTTTGCATTTACTCCCATTGCTGTTTCAGAGAAAGATGTAGAGAGTTATAACTTCTGATGTTTCTTTTCTGTGGACGGTCAAACCCAATCTCACTGTTGAATCCCACAGACATTTTGTGGATTGTTACATGTATTTTAATCTGCGTTTTAAGTCCTCTGACTTTATGTCAAGCAGTAAAGGAGGGACGGCAGCAGCGTTTGGGACACGTGGACAGGCCGCAGAAAGCGATGTGGCAGAGGCCGGTTTACTTTTGGAAGCAAAATGGCAGGACTGTGTGTGTGTGCGCGAACAAGTCCGTCCTTTAAGTTTCATGTGTGCTCGAAAAAGCGCAGTAAAATGGTGAGCTAAAATCGTGGTTGGCAGTGGAGCCCACAAACCTCAGCTCTTTCCTTCACTGCCTGGCTGCCCTCCCAGAGTCTCCGGCTCTAACCTCAGCACGCAGACAGGCGAAAAGAAATTCCCCTGCTCTTCTCTCCACGGGCGCGGAGGAGTCTCCACGCGCATGGGGAATGTAGTCGAAACGTATGCCACCTACTTGTCGATCTTGCATGAGGGAGCAAAGATTAGGAGCTGGTGAAAGAACGCTCTGTCTAGAGTTTGACCCAGACTGGGTTTGGTTGCGTAAGACGGGGCGACCCGGGTACCAGCTGGTGGAGGAGCGGCCATGGCTTGGGGTTTAGTGTGTGGGGTGGAAGCTCTGCTGCTGTGGAGTGGTAGTTTCTTATGGCAGATCGTCGTGTGGATGATCCGGAGGTGTTATCTGCAGAGAATGAGGTCATGTCAGCAGTGCCTACAAACGTGCTTCGACCTGAGTGACGTCTATCAGGTATCGGCTCTTTCGTATCAGCTCGAGGTTGGAGTTTGCTTTGGCACCGTTGCAGTGATTTCAGTCAGGGTTTAAGAGCCAACCTGAGACAATATTGATGCTTTACTGCCTCTTTAAGTTTCCTGAATTTTTTATTATTATTATTATTTTTTTTTTTATAAAAATAAATTTGTTCTCTAGGTTGCCGTGGTGATTCACTTGCTGTCTTCATGGTGCAACTGAGAGAATGGAAATATGTTTTGAATATAAACACCCAAAGTCTGAGAGCATATTGAAAATGTGTCTCATTAAAACCTGAAAATAATCAGAAAGCTTCTGGATTTGAACAAAGAAAAGTTGTGCTGTCAAAGAAGAACTGTTACTGTTAGAACTGTTTTTTGGTAACTAAGCAAATGTTTTACATTTTACATATATTGACTATAATTTGTAATGGGAAAAAAAGATGATTTAAGTAAATGCCAAATAAAACCACTTTCACTTAGTGGTCTCTTTATGTTTGGATCTTATTGGGCACTGTTCATCGTAATGCCCCTGCATTGTTATACAGAATGAAAAGTACATTTTCAAACATGCAAACAGAAATAACAGACTTGGAAAAGGGCATTTGAAACTTTCCCATATCAGTATCATAATGCAATAATCCTGCACATAAGTTTAGCCTCGGGAGTGCAGTCCAAAGATCTGTGCTAGTAAACACGTTTCCAAACCAATAATTTGCCATGAAAAGGAGCCTACTAATAAAACTTAAAGTATTATTTTCCACATTTATTCTAACCAGAGATTGTATCATATTTTGAGTCATTTGGACTGGACTTTTACAAGAACACCTCAATAGTTACATGAAATTATACATCATCTCCACCACAGCATATTGTAAACAGTCATTTTTGGTATTGGTCGGTTTATAGGACATAGTCCGAGTTGAACTGGGAAACAAAGCAATTTTGTGCCATTTTTGTGGTTACATAAGATTCAACTGGTTTGTTAACAGATGGTTTATCTTTTTTAGAATGTACCAACTTTGTTTCTTCGTCCAACATCCTGTTATTTTCAGTGACAGAAAAATAACTAGTTTCTTGTTTGTTCTGCACAACAAATGTGTGCTTTTCCAAAATAATCCATGTGCATGGCAAATGCATGAAGAATCTCTACAGTCCTTTTGGAAGAAAAACATTAAAAAAAAAAAAAATTCTCAAGTTTCATAGAATTTACATAGTGCAAAGAGCCATATTCTGTAACTCAACTCATGGGTGGTTTGTTTAAATGGTTGATTGACTGTCACGGTTTATCAATAAAGGACCCAAATGCAGAATGGACCGGGGAAACCGTTTATTAACAAAATGGGAACACGAGGATGAGGCAGGAAGACGGTCCACACAATAAGTCAGAGCACACAACAGGAGAACAGGCAGGTCGGGGATGGGGAAGCTCCGATGTACGCAACGGCCGCTGTATTGTCCGTGCGTACCAGTACATGCTTGCCTCGTAAGCGCCCTTTGAGACGGCTCAGGGCGGTCAGAAGACTCAGCGACCCGGGAGGACTCGGGAAGCAGGGCAGGAACCAACTCGACAAGACACAAGGACAAGGCAACAGTGGAGACAAAAGAAATACCGATCAAAAGAACTTGCAAAACAATGACTATGGAAGATAAAGAAAATAAAACTGAAAGGTTAAAGTAATAAATTCTTGAAATAATTAACCGAGACTTATGAAAACAAGAATAACAAAAAGGGGGGAAAAAAGCTAATAAAACTACAGCTACAAACAAAATAAAGATAAGACCGCAACCTCACTGAAAACTAGAAAGACAATAAAACTACAAAAATCAAAAGGTTCAAATTTCAATAAAGAACCAAACCACAAAGACTGTAATGAGACAATTGACTAAACACAGGAACAAATTAATGAACAAGAGTAAAACTAGACTGGCTGCAATATACAGAATAGCAAGCTCTAACAAGCCTAAAGACACTAGCAAAGAGAATGCACACACAAAACAAACCAGCAAAGACCAGAGGGAAATGAGCACAATATAAAGGGAGCAGCACACGAGGATCAGGTGAACACAATTGGGCAAACAAGGACTAAACAAGGGGGCGTGATTAAAAATGGGAAGGCAGGACAAGACGAGCACATGGCCAACACAAACAAAGACACAGCCATGTGCTCAGGCACAACATAAACAAAGACACAGCCATGTGCTCAGGCACAACATAAACAAAGACACATTAAACAAAGACAGGACAGACAACACTGTCAGGGCAGGATCCTGACATTGACTGGTTAAATGACTGGTTGTTTTTATGGTTGGTTGTTAGCTGGTTGTTTGTTTGTTTATTTAGTTAGTTGGTTGTTTCAATGGTTGATTGGCTGTTTGTTTGGTTTGTTGGTTGACTAGTTGTTTGGTTGGTTGGCTTTTTGTTTTTTTATTTTTTGGTTGGTTGGTTGGTTGGTTATCTGGTTGATTGGCTGGTTGTTTGTTTGTTTGTTTATATGTTTGATTGGCTGGTTGCGTTGTATTATTTTGGTTGATTGGTTGTTTGTTTCACATGTAATATGTGGCACAGATAAAATTTTGAGTGTACTGGCCAATTCACTTCACCGACAGATGCAGACCAACGTCGATGGTCACCAGATTACAGTACGTCACTTCTCCAGTGTGAATTGGCCTTATAAATTCCAAACGTAATAATAAAATAGGATAGTTTCTTTTTTTTTTAATTATTTGAATTTGAAAATAAAAATAACAATGTCTAACACTAACGCTGAAGTGAAATTTATTCAATCTGCCAAAGAACCTTGTCAATATGCTGCCATAACAGATCCGTTCTGGATTGTCTTGACTGTTGCTGAGAGATGCCTTGTGACTCATAACTCTGCTATAGATGACAGTTATTATATACTGTGGTGGTGAAATATTTCTGTCTGTATACTTAACCACAGTGTTGGGGGTAACTCATTACAAGTAACGCGAGTTACATAATCAGATTACTTTTTTCAAGTAACTAGTAAAGTAACGCATTACTTTTTTAATTTACAAGAAAATATTTGAGTTACTTTTTCAAAAAAGTAACGGCAGTTACGTTGTTTTCCCATGTATTGACTGACAGCTCTCCGGTCCCCATGTTGAGAGAAATCGGGAGTACAGAGGCGCTGTGTGAACATGTTACTGTAGTTCTAGACTAAATGTGAATGTGCATTAATTCATCCCACTCACAAAAAACAGATTTAGTATTCATCAAAATGAATTAAAACAGTGAAATGCAAACTCAGAATATGACGCAAACCTGCAATAATTAAATGTTAAATAACACAAATGTATCTAATCCCATTCTATTAACCAATGTCTTTGCTGCTGACCTTTGATTATGGAGATATAATTGTTGCTTAATTCCAAATAAATAGATTATGATCCACAAATAAATAGAATGAGATCCACAAATAAATCTTAAAGTTTCACAAACATGAATTAAATTCACAAATAAATAAAATGAGAATTAAGCAACAATTCTATCTCCATATTTGATGATCTAATTCAACCATACTAATAAGCAAAAATGACTTCAGATAAACTAACAATTGTGCTTCATTTTTTTTAATTGCTGAAGAGTGTTGAACATTCTTCTCCTCCGTTCTACTGTACAAACGTGAATTTACTTTTGCTTCAGCCTGAGGTTTATTCATTACACTCTTTGGTGTGAAAGGGCTTTTATATTTGCTATAAATAGAACTTCTTATATTAAAAACAATCAAGCCCTGCTTATATTTAAAAAGTAACGCCAAAGTAACGCAAAAGTAATATAACGCATTACTTTCCATAAAAAGTAACTAAGTAACGTAATTAGTTACTTTTTTAGGGAGTAATGCAATATTGTAATGCATTACTTTTAAAAGTAACTTTCCCCAACGCTGCTTAACCGTGTGTACCAACTGAAAGAAGACATTGTACACCATGAATTTTAAACCTATATGTAAAGTTAGTGTTCAGCTGGCCGCTGTAGTGAGTGAGGAGGTGGAGCTAGTGCACTGTCAATCATCTGATGTCATCCCTGTGTCCACAGATGACCGAGGGACGACTCTGCCAGGTGCAGCTCCTGGACGACAGGAAGCTGGAGCTCTTGGTTCAGGTAGAATGCTTCACAGTTCTGATCCCAGTTCTAGTCTATCCTCCCACTCAAGGGTAATGGACCTCAATAAACCTCACTGCCTCACATTATATTGATTAATGGATTTTCTCTCGCAGCCAAAGCTGTTGTCCCGAGAACTCTTGGATTTGGTCTCATCCCATTTTAACCTGAAAGAGAAGGAATACTTTGGGTTCACTTATATGGATGACACGTGAGTACCTCTTTTAATGATGTTGTCTATAGAGGTTCCTCATTCCCATGGAACATTTGTAAAAATCTAGTTTCTGAAAACATAAAGGATGAAAGAACATTGCAAACCTGAATTTAAAGGCATAGTTCACCCATAAGTGAAAATTCCGTCATTAATAATCACTGTTCGATTCTTATGGATAACTGGTATGATGTCTATATGTACTTGTTGAAGCATCACACTTTTGGTGGAATGCTCTTTCAATGGAAGGACAGAAATATCTTAGATTTCATTAAAATTATCTTCATTTGCGTTTCGAAGCTGAATGAAAGGTTTGAAATTACATGAGGGTGAGCAAATGATGACAGAATTTTTCATTATTGGGTGAACTATCCCTTTAAGGTAAGATTCATAAGGTAGAATGTCGTAGTCAGTTCAGATGGTTTATTTGAATGAGCCAGTTCTGGAAATTGATTCACTGCTTCATCGAAGCCATTCATTGATTTGTTGATTCATTGAAGACAAAGTGTTTTTCAAAGTCCCTGAACAACACTTAAAATAATGGAAGCTGGTTTCCACCACTGCATAAAAAATTAAAAAGGTAATTGCAACTTTTTATCTCACAATTCTGACCATTTATCTCGCAATTGCGAGTTTACATCTCACAACTCGGACTTCTTTTCTCAGGATTGTGAGATATAAACTTGCAATTGCAAATTAAATCCAATTCTCAGGGGGAAAAAATACCATTTTCTTACAATTGCAAGTTTATATCTCGCAATTCTGAGAAACGTCAGAATTGTGAGAGAAAAAGTCGCAATTAACTTTTATAAAAAATTTTCAGTTGCAGAAACAAGCTTCCATTTAAAACACATAAAAATGTCAATGTTAAAAATAAGTTTTTGTTAAATACCTCTGTTCATCACTATGATGTAATGGAGATTGCATATGTATCATTTCCCTTAGAAAATATAATGTTGTGGTACTATAATATAGTATGGTTTTTACTTAAATATATACAGTGTCACTATTGTACATATGGAAAAACATGGTATTGTCAAGGTACTATGTAAAAAAAAAAAAAAAACTATTAAAGGGGTCATATGATGCTTTGGGGTCATATGATGCTTTTTTAAAGATCATTATGTTGTGTATTTGGTGTAACAGAATATGTTGACATGCTTTAATGTTCAAACAACCTATTATTTTTCAAATACTGTACATTATTGTAGGTCCTCTATGCCCCGCCTCTCTCAAACGCTTCGTTTTCTACAAAGCCCCTCCTTCCGACAAGCGCAGTCTGCTCTGATTGGCCAGCTGACCCTGTGCATTGTGATTGGCCGAACACCGCAAGCACTCGTCGGAAATGTAACGCCCCTTACCATAATCACCAGCTTCAGCTTTCAAAGTAAATGTAAAGACAGTAAATAATGTCATTAGTTTTACCATCAGTTCAAGCCCGAAAGGGGAACAGACACAGTGATGATGCAGTACACAAGCCGCGGTTAAGACAGCTGACTCTACTGTGATGTGACGCTCTCTCTCTCTCTCTCTCTCTCACACACACACAGCGCGCGCGCACACTTTTTTCTTCTTTCTTTGCGTGCACATTTGGGCGCATTATGCAAATATTTCCACATAGTGAGGTAGACATGTGGGGGCGTGTTAGAACGAGCCGTTTTAGGGGGGCGTGGCAGAGTCTTAACTTTGATTAAGAATATCTCTTTGGTTTTGAGTCTTTAGTCTTTGTAACTTCAGGGATCTTATCTATGCACAATCAGCTTGTAACACTCCAAAGAGAAAGGAAAACTTGAAATCGCATCATATGACCCCTTTAATACTATGGCACTTTTTATTAGTGTTATTATTCCAATGCATCTCTCTGCTTTCCTCCCAAACTTTCTTTTACTCTTTTAGAGTCAAATGTTATACACACTCTTTACAAACTTGTTTGAGTGAATCATTTAAAAGAAGCCGGAATCCCTATGAGGCAACATGTATTTCTATTCAGTTCGACTTCAGTCCTGTTGAAGTCATTTCTGTGCAGATGATTTTCATCTATTAGTGTTAAATTGCAGAGCGTTTACTGCATTGAATCAGAATGTGGGCTTGCACATTTCAGTCAGATGACCTTTTCTCTTCCAGTGGTCAGTGCAAATGGCTGCAGCTGGACCGCAGAGTGCTGGAACACGACTTCTCCAAGAAATCCGGGCCTGTTGCGCTTCAGTTCCTGGTGAGGTATGTGATCTCTGCCTCATGATGTCTGAAGTCACATGACCACAGCGACCACAGAATGCAGCACATTCCTGGACTCAATCACTGCTCCAAAGAAGCACCTTGTTTTTTGTCTACGGCTATATGACTCGCCTTGTTTAGCGCTACAAAATTGTGATTTGTCATTTGCAGGTTTTACATCGAGAGTATTTCACTTCTGAAGGAGCACACGACTGTGGAGTTGTTCTTTCTGAATGCCAAGTCCGCCATCTATAATGTGAGTACATTTGTGTCTGTTTACCCACTGCAGTGATTCACTGTCTCATTTCTCGCCTCTAGAAACAGTTAGGAAGCCACAGACCTCAGACAGTTAATATGAGTTATTGCATCCCAAGGCCATTGGAAGGGAATGTGTCACTGATTGGCTTGTGAATCAAGAAAAAAGAAATTCTTGCAAGATTCTTCATAACCATCAAGATCAACATAAGCATTATTTTGGGCATTATTTTTTTCACTGTCCGGGTTTTCCCCACCACTTGCACTTTCCACTTTCCCCACCACTTGCAGCAGAATTGTATCTAATACTGAGGCACAATTTTATTTGTGTTTGCTCTGAAATCTGTTATTTTATTTTCTCAGTAACACTTAACAATAAGGTTCATTAGTTAATGCACTGTGAATTAACATGAACAACTGCATTTTCATTAACTAACATTAACAAAGATTAATAAACACTTTAATAAATGTGCTGTATTGTTCATTGTTAGTTTATGTTAGTTAATACATTAACTAATGTTAACAAATGACACCTGATTGTAAAGTGTTACCGTTTTCTCCTATAAATGTAAGATTTATGTATTTGAAGGGCATATAAAATGTACATCCATTTGGATTAAACAGTAAACATAAACTAATAAACTTAAAGGGATAGTTCACCCAAAAATGGAAATGTGATGTTTATCTGCTTACCCCCAGGGGATCCAAGATGTAGGTGACTTGGTTTCTTCAGTAGAACACAAACGAAGATTTTTAACTCAAACTGTTGCAGTCTGTCAGTCATATAATGGAAGTGAATGGGAATCACGGCTTTGAGAGTCAAAAAAACATACTCAAACAAAACCAAATTAAACCCTGCTGCTCGTGACGATACATTGATGTGTAAAGACACGAAACGATCGGTCTGTGCAAGAAACTGAAGAGTATTTATATCGTTTATTACCTCTGATGCACTGCAGTGTCCGAACTGTCCTGAGTGTGTCCTGAGCGTGACGCGTCTTCTTCTTCTTGCTTTACGGCGGATCGCAGACATAAATAAGTGCATTACTGCCACCTATCTCTCAAATGGACCACTGAAACTCTATCTACAATCTCAATTAGGAGTGTCAATGGTCCATTTGAGAGATGGGTGGCGGTAATGCACTTATAAGTCTGCGATCTGCCGTAAAGCAAGAAGAATAAGAAGACACGTCACGCACCGGCTGTTGAGAACGCGCTCAAGACAGTTTGGACATTGAGGTGAATCAGAGGTAAAAAACAATATAAATACTGTTCAGTTTCTTGCACAGACCGATCGTTTCGTGTCTTAGGACATCAATGT